TCCTACCAGCCCAGCTGCACAGTGCTGAGCCTTGAATAGCGAGACCCCATCCTTCCCATGGATGAGTCCCTCACCTCCTCACTCATCTGCTCTTCCAGAGACCCAGGGCTGTGCAGGGAGCAGGGGAAGGGAACCAGGAGAGGTGTGGAGCTTCACTGCAGTCCCTGACCTGCCTGGCTTAGCTACGTGACTCACCCAGCAGCCACGTGAAGTGGAGCTGGCATGGGAAAGCGCCGTGTGAGGCCACGGGCTCTTCCTGGAAGACTGCTGCTTGCTCGTGTCCCCCCCAGAGCAATTTTCACCAGCACAGCACAACTCTGGCCTCCTGTGAGTGTGCTGGGCCCTCTCCTGCAGCAGCAGGACCAAGCTGCCTCCAGCAGCTCCCCCAGAGCAGTGGGAGGAGAGAGGGGGTTCAGCTCCCCGAGGGAGTGGGACCAAAACCAGCCCAGCCGGTCCTGTGGAGCCCCAGAGCATCGGGAAGGCAAATCCTGCTGACGTGACAGCTCCAGGATCGCACCGGAACGGCAGAAAGCAGCAGAGCTTAGAGGGACTCCTGTGCAACCCCTGCTCCGGGGCAGGATCTGTCCTACCAACCCCACCACCAGCCCAGCTCGGGCAGAGACAGGCCCTGCAGTTGAAATAAGCCAGTGATTAAGTGGAAGCCATGGGTGGGCAACCAACCTCCCTCCCTCCCGAGAGCCAGGAAACACCCCACAGGGTCAGAATCTGGGGCTCCCCAGTGTGCACCAGCACCGTGGTGGGTGCAGGGTCTGTGTGCTGGGAACAGCCTGGCACCCAGAGCATGGATGTGATGCTTGGGATGTTGCGTGGGCAGGGACCTACACCAGCTTCTAACCCACCACCTTGCCCCCTCCTCGCTCAAAGCAGAGCTCAGCAGCCCCACCCTGAGCTTTGGGGAGCCCTGTCAGGGCACAGCCTGACCCTCAGCAGCACATCCTGACAGCTACACATCTTCCCAGCTGCAGCTTAAGCCCCACAGCCTCTGCACACCGACTCCATCTGCAAATACCCCAAGTCAAGCCCAAATCTTAGTTGTCCCTCACCCGGATCACTGCACCTTTCCCTTTGTCTCTCCACATGGAGCAGGCACAGCTCTGCCCCAGCAGGTCACAGGGGACCAGCCCAGGCTCCCGCCAGCTTCCAGCAGCATGGAAGGGTCAGGCATGACACAGCTTCCCAAAGCTGGGAGCCCAGCTCCCTCCTTGGCTTCCAGCTGGAGCATCTCCCAGCGGTGCAGCACTGGCCGGGCTGGGGCAGCTGTGGGTCGGGCCAGCTGCCAGCACAGAGCCAGAGGCAGGGAAGCAAAGTGCCAGACAGCACCGGGCTGAGATGAGGCAGGGTCAGGGCAGACTGCAAGTCATGCTGATGTCAAATCCCTCACCAGCCTCCACACTGCGGCACGTACCCGCTCCTCACCCAGCAGCGCTGTGGGCTTTGCTACAAGGGGGGGTATTCCTCCCCCCACACCCCCCTCGGGGTGACTACAGCCAGGGAGGAGGTACAGAAGTGCCAGACAGCACCGGGCTGAGATGAGGCAGGGTCAGGGCAGACTGCAAGTCATGCTGATGTCAAATCCCTCACCAGCCTCCACACTGCGGCACGTACCCGCTCCTCACCCAGCAGCGCTGTGGGCTTTGCTACAAGGGGGGGTATTCCTCCCCCCACACCCCCCTCGGGGTGACTACAGCCAGGGAGGAGGTACAGGCTCAGGCATTTTTTTTCCCCCCAAGCCCCTGCTGCAGCTCATCCCCCTCCCAGGCCAAGGGCAGGAGGTTGGGTTGGTGCCCTCAGCCCAGCAGAAGATGGGGTGCCAGCAGAGCTCTGCATAGCACCCATGGATAAGGAGGGACCAGCACCCAGGGAAGCAGCAGTTTCTCACTCCTTACAGCAAGGAGGGAGCATCCCATGGGGCCCAGGGAGAAAGGGGGGGCTTCCAGGCAGCCCCATCTGAGCCACTCTCCTCAGACAGGGTGAGGGTGTGATGGCAGCTGGCTTGTCCCCATCACCACCACAGCCCAGTCCTCCCCAGCAGACGCACACAGCCACTCTGGTGCCTCCATCACCCTTCCCCATCCCGGGCACCTTGGGGTGCAGCCGCCAGATCCAGCTGTGCTTCCCCAGCTCCTGGAGCTGTGAGCAGCAGGTGAGGAGCCTGAATCCAAGGGCCACACAACCCAGCACAGATCTGCACCCCACAGTCCCAAGAGCAACAGCAATGGGGACAACTCCTTTCCATCCACCACCATCCTTTGTGGGCGTCCAACCACCACCCCGGGACTCACACCTCTGCGAGAGGTTGGAAGGAACTGGGTGTCCTGAGGCCCAAGAGCTCAATTACCCCGACCAATATTTGGTCACGGCTTTCACCATCTCAAGTGTAACTACACACTTAAGGTCAAGCACCTCTAAAGGCTTAACTGTACTTCATCTCCATTTCCTGCTCACCCAGCCCTCTTGTGACCCTCTAAAAGCCATCTACACACTTGAGGAAGTAAATTTGCAGCTAGGCAGCAACAACTGGAAACAGGCAACAACCAGTTTGGAAACAGCCCCGATGAGGGTTGTGAACCTCATGAGGTTACAACCAACGTAACATGAACCGTGTCAGGGAAACCAGGCTGGGATTCACACGCTGCAGCGCAGGGTGTGGGGATCATGCCAGAAAATAAAACCCACACAAAGCTGCTGTGATGGGATTAGCTCGAGGGCTTTGGTGAGTGGAGGTTGCAGCACAAGCAAATAGCTGATGCTCTGGGAAATGGTGTGACAGTCTGCTCGGGCTGGATCCGAACCATCAACAGGTTTCTGTTGCGGTTACTACCTACCTGCTGGGTATGGTGTACACAGCACCAGCCTGTGGTATGCACCTTCCACGAGGAAGTTATGTAGGGCACTGAGAACATTGATCACAAACACATGCTAGTGACACGGTGCAAGGAAATGCAGGAGGACACCGGAGGTTTGGGGTAAATAAGAGATATTTGAGATTTGAGGGAGTGTCACCTCATTTCTACCAACAGCCAAGAGAACAGGTCAGTGATCCAGGAGACCCCAGGGGTAGGACTCTCATGCTCTGCTCACCAGGAGGGAAGGAGGGAAGGAGGGAAGGAGGGAAGGAGGGAAGGAGGGAAGGAGGGAAGGAGGGAAGGAGGGAAGGAGGGAAGGAGGGAAGGAGGGAAGGAGGGAAGGAGGGAAGGAGGGAAGGAGGGAAGGAGGGAAGGAGGGAAGGAGGGAAGGAGGGAAGGAGGGAAGGAGGGAAGGAGGGAAGGAGGGAAGGAGGGAAGGAGGGAAGGAGGGAAGGAGGGAAGGAGGGAAGGAGGGAAGGAGGGAAGGAGGGAAGGAGGGAAGGAGGGAAGGAGGGAAGGAGGGAAGGAGGGAAGGAGGGAAGGAGGGAAGGAGGACCCTCTTTTACCCAAATGAAGCCCCAGAAGTTTGCTGGGTGCTCTTTCACACAGGCTACGCTGTCACAAAACACAAGAGCCCCTCAGTGGTGTCACAGGGTTTATTATCCCGTCTGTACAGTACTTGTTGGATGCAGTTTAGATGATTCCAATCTGGAAAGAAGCAAAGCATGTTAAAACAGATGCTGTGGTGGCAGAAAGGCAGAGCCTCCACCACGAGTATCACTCCCAGGGCTGCATCTTCCTGGGATTCCTGTCCTCTGAGGACAGGCTTCTTCCTCCCAGACCTGCCCAAGTGCCTTACACAACCTCTTTAAACATTTACTCCACGGTGATCCCTGTGCTAAGCCACATTCCCCTACTCCAGTTCGCACCACCACTGTCTCCAGCCTCAACCACCTCGAGGACTAAACTGCCTGCCACTTCCACCTGCAGCCACCCGGCCAGGAGAACCCCCCCTTCACCCTGGCCAGCAGTGCCCCTGCCAACGGGGTCTCCTGGCATCACTTCCCCCTGTTAAATGAGGTGCCAACAGCGCTGCTCAAAGACGCTGCTGGGACAAACACTGTGTCAGCCCAGAAGGTGCAGAGCAGTTTCTGCAGCCTCCCCACTAACACTTTGGAGCTCTCAGAGCCCTGTGGAGTAGAGCTGCTCCCTGGAGGGGCTGAAGAACAGCAGCAGTTCTCCCTCAGTAACTTTTCCCACCTAACCTCGGATTTCCAGGCAGAACTGTGCTTTGCTAAGACTGTGTGGTCTTGCTTCCCAACACCCAGATCCTGTTTAACTACAAGGACACTTACAGGAGTGCTGCTGTGTTTGAAGCACAGGTACTGCACCTGTACACCAGAACAACTGGGCACAGGAGAGGTGAGACAAAGGCAGCTGCAAAGTTTCAAAGATTCCTCACCTTGTTGGCTACATCCAGCGCATCGTAATCCGGAGCCAGTCGGACATAAGCCTTCTTCTCCCCATCAGGCCTAGAGAGGAACAGGAGGTGTCAGAACAGAGGCACACAGTTCCTCCCACCTGCTCCACGCTCCCACTACAGCAGTGTGCATCAGTGGTTCCTTTGGAAACATCACTTTACTCAGTGGTAAAAAACATTCACATCATTTGCACAAGACTCCCTGGCTGGTAGAAGAGCTCCCTGGTGAAGCTGACCCTCCGGTCTGCCAACATTTCCCCGTTACACTAAGACATCCTCAGCCAGAAGTTATATTTCTCAAAACTTTTAACACTGAGAACACCATGGAGTTTAATCCCACACCCCCCGAGAGCCCCCACACCCCCCGACACTCACAGGTGTTCACATCTTCTGCTAAAATCCACTCTGGGTTCTTGAAGCACCTTCACCCCCACCCCTGACCTATTGTCCCCACTTCTCACCTGATCAGCGTGTTGACCTTGGCCACATCGATATCATACAGCTTCTTGACAGCCTGTTTGATCTGGTGCTTGTTTGCCTTGACATCGACAATGAAAACCAGAGTGTTGTTGTCCTCAATCTTCTTCATGGCTGACTCTGTGGTCAAAGGGAACTTGATAATGGCATAATGGTCCAGCCTGGAGGAGAGAGACCCTGTGGTTAACAGAAGGCTGGCAGACACCAACTCTGCACTTCAGGGGCTTCCAAATACCACAGGCACCATCTCAGGAAGTTTGGGGTGCATCAGTTGCCAAAAAAAAAGTTCTAATCACGAACTCTCAGGCTTTGGTCGCTTGAAATCATCACCTGCACCCCAAACACCCACTGCTCTGTCACCACGGTGTGGCTCAGCTCCCAGGGCAGCACGCTAGGCTAGCAAGGTGTCCCCCTGGGCCCTGCCGTGGGGCACAGTTCCCCACACCAGCCCAAGCATGGAGCTGCTCCCACTCTGCAAACCCCACAGAGCCCAGCACCCCACACGTACTTGTTTCTCCGTGGGGCACTCTTCCGGGGGTACTTGGGCTGTCGCCGCAGCCGCAGGGTCTTGGGTCTGCGGAAGGTGGGTGACGTGCGGATCTTCTTCTTCTTGTGACTGTGGACCCCCTTCAGGACGGCCTTCTTGGCCTTCAGCGCCTTAGC